AACAGAGCGGCGATGCGGGATTCCTGGAGATCACGACGAAGTCCGAGAATCGATCCCAGCGTCAGCCCGCACTCGGGCAAGTATCTTATCAGGAAACCCTGCCGCGTCACATGGTGAGGCTTCATGAAAGCGTCGCCGATCACTAGCACAAACAGGCGCCGCTCCATCAACGGGCAGTGGAAGCGGGCCTTGGCACCGTGAGCCCGCGAAGCAAGATCTCCACGAACCTCTCCTCGCACCGCTCGGAGTGGCTCTGCAACCGGCGAGTGTGGCGGGGCCACGTGCTGGCTAGACCGGCGCCCTTCTCGTACCTCACCACGAACCGATCGGCTTTCCAGCCGCCTCGCTTCTTGACCTCGGCCAAGGTGCGCTTGCGGGGCGACGTGTCCGCGCTGGCGCCGCTGTGCCGAGCCTGGTGCACCGCCGGGTCGAAACCGAGGTCCTTCGCCACCTTGGCCACCGTCGCCGCCGGCCGCGGGCGGGTGAAAGATCGCACCCGCCGCCCCGCAGGCAAACTCTTCAGCGCCATGGGCATCGGAGAAAGGCGGGGCCACCAGTTGTGGTCGAGCTCGATCGTCACGTCGAACTCCTTCGCCTTGGACGGGGCGCCCTTGGGCTCGGGGTTGAGCTGAACCGCCCAGAAGGTCGCCACCTGCGACGGCGGGTACAAGTACTCGGGCTCCAGGGCCATCAGCTGGATGGGCCTGGCGCAGTGCTCCACATCAGGCAGATGAACAACGCCATGTCGAAGCGGCCCAAAATCGCCAGGCCGTTCACGAGAGCACACCAGATGGGCCACGCCTCGGGCAAGCGAGATGCAGACGGGCAAAGGTACTGCCAACCCTTGAGCGCTCGCCAACTGCGTGAAAGAGCGTGAGGTCCGTTCTTGCCAACCTTCGGCTGGCCATGAACAACCCCCGCGATCAACTTCATCCCGCGAGCCGCCGACGCGCCCTGATGGATCTGGCGGTCCATAGCTCACCAGCAGGTCGTCCAGGTCCGTGACTGGGATGTCGAGCAGCTTTTCGGCGTCGGCGAACCTTCTGAAAGTCGCCATCTCCTGAGCGTACTGGGCCTCCGTCCACGGTATCACGGCGGCGTGCTCCCCCGCGGTGAAGTGGGCAAGGTCTGGCAGCGTCCTGGCCTCGAGCAAGGCCTCGAGAGTTTTCTTGGCCCGCGGCGGAGGGGTCCGAGTATATGCGATCGTTCGGGAGGTCGGCGTGGCCTCGGGCTCGCCCTCCGAGCTCGAGGGGCCCTCTGGCCCTGGCCCCCGCTGACGGCGGCGGCGCAACTCCGACAGCAGCTGCGCCACCTCGTCGTCTGAGATCCCCCAGAGCCCAGCCGCCGTCTTCAGCGCCCCGGCCCCAGCCTCGCCGCTCGGGCACAGAGCACGGGAAGTGCGCGGCCGAGAGGCGGACGGGTCGCCCGTCGACGGGGCCCGTCGCTTCCTCACAGGGCCCGCTGAGGCGACATCGCCGAGAGACTGAGAAGGAGCCAGAGTGCGGGCGCGTCTGGCAGAGGCCGCTTTTGGCTGAATCATGGATGCTAGGTTGGGCTGAAACGGCTACGGAAGGACAACCAAAAGAGAGCCATCACCCGGCCCTGGTCCGCGATCGTCGACTTCACGGGGCTCCACCCGACAAGGGCTCGCTACAACAAGCGGAAATCCGCCATGGGGGGCGTGCCCAATGGGATCGGGGCGGTCTTTATCACCAACCTCGTTTGACAAGGAATAGGGACCAGGCTGGAAGAGACGAGACGGGGCATCGGCAGGATTCTTCTCAGACGGGACCCACCGAACAGAAAGGTGCACGTTGCGGCTCAGACACCAGGCAGCCATCATCCTCAGGATGACGAGCACTTTGAAGTTACGACACCTCCACCTGCCCACTGAGAGCACGAGGCCGAGATTATCTGCAAAAACACCTGTCGAATGGTGCGGCCATAGAGCGTGCGGGCCACGCGCTCGCTCGAGCCCGCGGAGCAGCGCCCGCGCCTCAAGCACCAGGATGTCCTCTTCTGCAGAGAACGGCCATGCGCCAACGGTACTCCAAGAACCGCTATCCAGCAAGGGCGCGGGCACCTCCTCGAAAAAGGAGTCGGCCGTCAAGCCGCTCTTCCCGCAAGCGCCCAGCAGGTCGTCGGGCTCGGCGGGCGCGGAGGGCGCCGCGGCCTGGGGGAATCCCAAGACAGCGGCACGAGCAGCGACGCGGTCGGGGTCGAGGTAGCGGTCGCGCCCCCGCACGCGGACCGCAGCTGCCACGTCGTCGACGCTGCTCCAGCGGCTGCAAAGCCCGCAACCCCACTCGGAGGCATCCGACGAAACAATCAGGGGGCCCCAGTTCGACCCCCAGTCGGACACGAGGAGGACCATGAGCCCAGCAAAGGTGCGGAGCTCGCCCGCGGCCGACGACCAGAGAGCGACGGCGTGGTCGTAGTGAGCCCTGACGAAATGGTAGACGGTGGTGAACGCGGACAGCGTCTCACGCCGAAGCAGCCCGCAGAAGGTGGCGTGGCCCAAGATGGCCCCCGCCTGCCGTCCCGACACGCGCCGCCTGCGGGTCAGGGCCAGGATGGCCGTCGAGCAGCGCGCCCAGCGCCTCGGCCCCCTCGTCGGAGGTGGACACCTCGTGCGCCGCCAAGCCGCGGGACTCGAAGGCCGTGACGACGCCGACGAGCTTCGAGGCCACCACGCGGCCGCCGGCGCCAAACACCCCAGTGTTGTCAACGTAGATGTAGCGGCGCGTGGCGGCGGCGGCCTCGCCCCGCAGCGAGGGGGCGAGGGGCTGCCCGCGGTCGCGCAGCAGCTCACCTCGGGGTAGCACTCGGCTCGCGACCTCCTCGTCTACGTCCTGGGCGAAGAAGAGGCCCCAGGCAAAACCCTTCGGAAGGCGTCGCGGCATCGGCGCCACCAGGTCGTCTGGCGCCAGAGGCCCGCCCTCGCAAGAGGCGACCCCGACGCCCCGAGCTCGCGCGCGAGGGGGCCCAAACCAACGGGAGAGCCACAAGGGGATGCCCATCCTGTGGAAGGCGCCCTGCACGTCAGCCGTGCCGCAGCACAGCGATGAAAGCCCCTGATCGTCGGGAAGCTCGACTTCAACGCGGCCCGAGCCCTCGGCCGTCAAGAGATCGACGCGAGGCGGCGGCGCGAACCGCCGATCGGACCGCCTCCCGTCGACGATGAGTCGAAGCTTCCCATTCTTCTTTCGCGCAGAAAAGAGACCTGTCCGCTCGTGGGCCCACGTGCCAAAGACCAGCATGTTCTTGGCCGTCAGGTCGCGCACGAAGCGGGGGTGGAGCTTCGGGTTGCTGGCGAGCTGGGGATCGACATAGCATCGCTCGGCATCGTCGGTAACTGTGTCACTAGCAGTGGGATCGAGCATGCGCCCTCCTGCGCCCTCCAGATAGCCGCGGCCACGATCCCCCACCAAGTCGAAAACGGACGGCGCCGCGCCCTGCTTCTCAGGCAGGGTGACCCGACCTCGCCGGCACGGTGCGAGCGTAGTCATCGAGGCGTCCATCCTGTAGCTGGACGCCTTGTCACAGTTATACTCGTGGCCCCCGTCACGCATCTGATGCTCTGCCAGCTGCTCCACGTAGGCCATGACCTCGTCACGCTCGCGAATCGCCCGGCCAAGAAGCTCCGGAACACGCCGAAGCCGCCCGCGGACATCAGGCAGTCGGTGGTCATCAGTCTCGGCTAGCCAATTAGCATTAGACGCGCCCTCGACGAGCTGCCGCACATGATCTCGCTCGCGGTATCCCTTCGAGCGACGCCCTCCCGAAATCGGCGCAGGCTCCAGCGGCGGCAGCGCGATCGGGAACTGGTCAGAAAGCTTGGGGCGGCCGTTCGCCCGAAAATACTCCACTCTCAGTGGGCCGCGGCATGGGGGGCCAATCCGCGACCCGTCGTCTAGGTCACCCGCCATCGGGGGCGGCCGGCTCGCCTCTGCCGCGGCCCCCCCGTCCCGCCCCTGCACCGCGGCCTCGGCCGCCGTCGACGCGGCCCGCAGCGCCTGCTGAGGCGGCGCTGGAGTCGGCGCCGTCCGCGGGCCGCGAACGGCGCGAACGAGCCTGCTCCACCCCGTTCTGGTCCTTCACCTCGGCGAGGCCCCACTTGCGCAGGGCGGGGGCGATGGCGTCCATCGAGCTGGCCTCGCCCTCGTAGACGCCAGCCATCTTCCAACTCGGCGCGCCCGTGCCCGACGAGCAGGCGTCGACCACCCCGAGCATGCGCCTCGCCAGCTTCTCGATGCCCGCGGACGCCCCCATTTGAACTGATCATACTCCCCGAACAGCTTGAAACTCTCCGTGAGGTTCGTCATCTCATGGTAGACCCTGTCCGTCTTGTTGATGCCATGGTCTCGAGCGAAACCCTGCCACCACCGCCGCGGGCCGCCACCATAGCGCCCGATGAACCGAGCGACGTGGAGAGTGCCAGGCGGGCCCTGCACCTCCGCGGCCGCGATGGGCTCCTCGCGCCTCTCCTGCGCAGCCTTCTTGAAGGACTTGAACCGATTCCCTGCCTCGTCGTAGTCGACCCACAACGTCCTGACGTCATCATCGAGGTCAACGCGAGGGGTCTCGACACCGCCGACAGCCTGAGCACCGACGGGCGCGTCGGCCGACTGGTATCGAGACCTCAAGCGGGCAGCGAAGCTCACGCACTCGCTCGACAGCACGGACCGAACCTTCAAGAAGCCGCCATGTCGAAAAAACGGGCCCATCGTGACTGGTGATGGCGATGTCGCCTGCCGTGAGCGCGACCTCCATGCCGAGGGTATCGCGGCCCTCGGCGCTCTCGCACGCGAGCCAGACCCGATCGGCAGCGGGCCCGTCGCACGCCTGCAAGGGCCCGAAGGGGCCCTCGGCGGCGTCGCGCGGGGGCGCCGCACCTGCAGCGACGGGGGCCCCAGCGCCAGCCGCGGCCGCGGGCCCCACGGGGGCCCAGGCGCCGACAGCCCCGCCGTCGGCGGCCACGCCGCCGCCCGCAGCAGCAGCTCTCCAGCGGCGCCAGGCCCCCCCGCAGGCAAGGCGGGGCAGCGCCAAGGCGGAGGCGCCTCCCGGCGCCAGCGAGAAACACCCGAGCACCAGTGCCGTCGATGTAGTGAGTCATCGCCAGCGGCTCTTCCCCAGCAGCTCGGATCTGCGACGCCTGCGCCTTAGCCCAGTCCACGATCTGCTGGCTGCTGGGGTACTGATCGCCTCCGAATCGATAGAACTTGCTTCGACGCGGGGCTGGGCAGGTGCCCATGTTGTCCAAGAGGACTATGGCCTCGCCCTCGTCGCCTTCCATTGACATGTATTCGCCATACTTATCGTGACCAGGGGTCAACACATCCCAGCGGCTATATAATTCGGCCCAGATCATCTCAGACACACGGGCCCAGGATCACTCTCTCATGGTACAAGTCCTCCCCAGGGCATCTGATCGCCACAAGGCGCCCAGGGAACAACTCATTCAATAACGCCTGCACCGAACGACGCTCTCCTGTGACCCCGAGGCGAGACGCTCGGAGCGGCGCGACGGCCATCGCGACGGCAGCGACGACACTTGCCGAAAGAGATCAGCACGTGGACGAAGATCTGAACCCCGCCGAGGAAACCGATGCCGCCCGCGAAGAGGGCGAAGTCTCGGCCGTCGCTCCCGCACTGCACCTCGCACGCGCAGCGGTCAACGGCGAGCCGCTGCGCGATGTCTTCCACGATGCCAGGGTGGACCCAACTCTCGGGGCAACTCACCTCGACCCGCGACGGGGGCGCGGGAGCGGGCACAGGCTCCTCTGCACGGCACCAGTCGCCCTCGCCGCAGTACCAAGGCGGCCGAGGGGCGAAATGGTCGCGCAAGGCGAATGTGAGGAAGGCGAGGATCGCTCCTGCCGCGCCCGGCATGCGGCTGAAACTCTCGAGCCTAGACGACTACAGAGTGACCCGATGAGGTGATGAGACCGACTTCCCAAATCCGCTAAGTCATTAATGTGCACGCATCCCCATGATGATGAGGAACAGCGGGCGCTGAAATCCAAGAACCCTGGCACACATGTTGTTGAACAGCATGTGTTGCTCTCACACGTTTATGGGGAGCTCTAGGCCGGACTGCTACAGCAAACCGAACGTTGTACGGAGTTCGACGCGCTCGCGTGGCGGCGCGCGCGTGGCCCGCATGGTACGGTTTGATTCGGATCCGTGCACTCGGCGGATGCTGGATCAACGCGGATGCACCGCGTGGTGAACTGGGAATGCGGGATGCGGGCGAAATCAGTGAACCCACATGGTTGCCCAATGGTTCCAAAGTGGGCGCGAGAAGAAACTTTGTACATACTCTGTGTGTGATAAAAACGGCGACAGGAAAGATGTTTCCCCTACATCCCAAGTGTGGTTCTTGCTTTCTCGGCGCATCCCCGCGCAGGAACACCTCTCCCCGTTGTCCTCCCCCTTTCCTCTGCACTCACCATCGCCATCACAATCCTCATCAGTAGCATGACCATCGCCATAGTATTCTCACACCCTTCACCACGATCACACCATCACCAACACCGTCGCCAACACCATCACAATCACCACCAGCAGCAGCACGCACATCGCCACTACCGCCATCACCACCACACTCACCATCAACATCCCCTTCACCATCACCATCACAATCCACAGCAGCAGCATCAGCATGAACATCATACTCAATCCCAACATCATCACCATCATCATCATCATCATCATCATCATCATCATCATCATCATCATCATCATCATCCTCGTCCTCGTCCTCATCGCACCCTCCTCCTCTTCCTCCTCCTCCTCTTCATCGTCATCCTCATCATCATTCCCCTCCTCATCCCATTCCGCATCCTAAGCACTACCGTAACCAACAAGCTAGCCAGCATTATCATCATCATCATCATCATCATCATCATCATATGATTCTCTTTCCTGCGCCGTCAACATCATCCTCAGCGCCGCCCGCATCATCACTGTCACCATCATCAACATCACGATCACCAAAACCACCAAGATCACAATCATCAGCATCGTCGATATCGTTCACCACCAACACCATCACCACCGTCATCAACATTATCGCCATCTTCGCCATCATCAGCGTCATCAACATTATATACATCATCTCCATCATCGTCGCCATCGTCATAGTCCCCATCATCATCGTCGTCATCGACATAATCATCATTGTCATCATCAACACACTCATTATCATCAGCAACCTCACATTCTTCCTCACATTGCGGGACGATGCGACGAGCGCACACCCTACCTGCCCACTTCCGCACAGGCGCCCTCTCATTCAATAGTGTCGTGATAAAAACTCCAGGGCCCAATCCATGGACATCGCCTATGCCAGAACAGATAATTCCAAATGCCCGAAATACTTCCCTGCCCGCGCAAGAGCCGCCCCTGATTGGGATGCGGGTGTGCATATACAGCCATCCCGCCAGCAAATTGCGCGTCGCCCCTCCACGCACCATCCACGCGCACACGAAGGCAGATGACGTGCATCCGGGCGATATCGATATGACCCTGGCCCTGCCACTCCCAATTTCGTCTCGCGTCGAGGGCGACGTTCGCCGCGTGGTCGGCGACGGCGCTGAACTCCCGCTTGTCCCACTCGACGAATGGCGTTGCATTTAGCCGGGGGCCAAATTTGCGACGCTGAGCGCCGAAAATTTGCGACGAATGAGCGACGAATTCGTAGTGGTCGACGAATTCGTAGTGGTCGACGAATTTGCGACAAATTCGTAATGGTCGACGAATTTGCGACGAATGAGCGCAAACGCCGGCCACTACGAACGAAGAGCGCCGCGTCGAGGGCCGATCCAAGGGAGCGAGGCCGGCGCAGACTTGCCCCCGAATCGGATTGTCAGTCTGAACCCATATGCGCCAGGAGCCAGCGTTCCAACATGCCTCCTTGGGGTTTCCAGGGAGTGCCAAACATGTCGCGCACGCCGCTTGGAATACGCGCCCGTTGAAGCGGCTGCCTCACGCGAGGCTCCACAGCCGGACTCGCTGGTGATCCCCAGTCATGGGAATTCTCCCTGTGAAAGGCCAGAAACAAATCCATCCAAGTAGTAAGGGTCTTGCGTGCAACTCGCTGGTCTCCCCAGCCCTCCCCAACACATGCACAAATATGGCCTCCCACCTTGTCGCTTTTTGTCCAAAACGGCTGCGTGCCAATCCTACATTCCTCCGTTTCCCAACGGGGCTGATCGCTAATGCTGTGCCCCACCACCAGGCACTCCGATACCCGTGCGCGGCGTGCATTATTGGGGACTCCCCGCCGTCCAACATGAAGCGCTTCTTCTTCCAAGCACTTTTGGGAGAGAAAAAAACGTAGGTAGGGTTGGTGCCATGATTGCGCATTCTGTCTTCAATGACCCGGGCTGTTCTGACATTGTACACTGGTGCCCCCTCATCTGGTCGTCTCCGTAGTCTGAAAGCTTTGCGCAAGAGCCGGAGTTCCCAGCGTCGCGCGGCATGCAACAATCCTGGCGTCAAACGCCACGCGTTGCAGCTGACCGTAGCAATTTCGGAGGGCCCGTGGGCCAATGCTTCGAGGCGTTGTTCGCTCAGCATCATCATAATCATCGACATCATAAACATCATCATCAACACCATGCTCATTATCACCATCGTCGTGGTCGTCGTCAACGTCATCATAATATGTTTGCCGTTGTCATTCTGCTTCGTCGCCAACAGCATTGCCATCGCCATTGCCATCACCACCGCAAAAAAATCAACAACATCATCAACATCGACATCATCATAATCCACCTAGTTGAACGTCATATCGCCCTCGCGCAGACTGGCGGGGCGAAGGGGTCGTTTGCGCGGCCGCTCGGCGCAGCTTGTACACCACGTCGCCTTGGCACTGGCAACGGCCACTTCGGGCCCCCCTTCTTTCGCCGCGTGCAAGTCGTCCGGACTGGCGTCCCCTGCGTTGATGCGCAGCCTCCTCAGGATCCGCTGGGGTTCTGTCGCCATGCGCTTTGCCATGGTCTTTCCCGTCGTCGCGTCGGGAAGTTGGAGCGCGATTCCGTCCGGGGTGGCTGCCTCGCTGTCTTCTGCTGTCGTGGTCGTAGGGCAGCAGGAAACGGGGGACTCCGCCCCCCCGGGCTTCGTGCTGGCGCGATCTGACGCGGGACCGTCTGAGCCGACTGATCCTTTCCGGCTCTGAATCTCGGAAGAACTGTCGCAGTCCACGCAAGATCCGAAGTGCCATCGGGCGCCGCCGCGCCTGCAACAAGCCGGCCGGGCCGCCCCCTGTCTTGACGACAGCGCACTCCATCCGGACTTCGGCGCCGATATCCGCGCAGTCGGTGGCCCACCAACTCGAATTCTGCGCAGCGCCTTCGCCCCGCCGACCCAGCGAGTCACGCGGGCCGCCGCGCGCCGTCTCGACCGACGGTTTGGCGGACGGCGCCAGGGTGGGACTGGCGTCCCGGACCAGCGCGCAGCCTCCGAGCCCCTCCTGAGAGTCTCGACCACCCGGCCTCAGCGCGAAGTCCCCCAGTGCTCGCCGGTGCCCTCGGTAGAGTCGATGTCTCCGCCGATCCGCGCTGCGTCCCGCTAGCCGGGACTTCGTTGCCGTCGAGCCTCCGCTTGGAATCTCGACCACCGCCGGCCCGGGTCTTACCTGCGCCAACATCGCCAAGGCGGCGTCTCGATTCTCTTTCCGACTGAGTTCCCCGTCGCACGTCGTGTTGCACGGCCGCAGGCGCCGCCGGCCATTCTTCGATCCTATGCGACTGACCTCGCCCAAGCCACTGATGAAGGGCTCCGCCGCGCCCGCTCGATCGGCACCCCAGCGCCGTTGGGCCCTTTGGCCGACGCTGGTCTGGCGCTCCCAGTCTCCGACAACGCCCGCGGCGAATGCGACGGTCGCGAGCAGCGCCCCGCATCCTCCCTGACCTGCTTGGCGGCCTGCCCTGTCAGGCGCCGGCCCCGGGGGGACGCCGCCCCCCTTCCAGCCCAACTGGCCCCCATGGCGGCC